AACACTCATTCCTTCGACGATGAACGCGAATCCGACCATCACCCCAGGTGAGACAAAACCGTGACTCATCAGTGAAGAGCACTTTTTGCCAGTCCTGTCTGGTCCAGCGACGGTGTGTTTGTGCCCATAGGCGACGTTGTTGCCGGTGATGTCTGGTGAGGACCTGCCTTACAACAGGCCTACAAGCCCTCAGTCCATCCTCTCTCAGGCTATTGCGGACAGTCTGAGCACTGATGGAGGGATTGTGCGTTCCTGGTGTAACTCAGGCAGTTGTTGTTGCCATCCTGTACCTGTCCCGCAGGTGTGATGTTCGGATGTACCGATCCTGTGCAGGTGTTGTTACACGTGGTCTGCCACTGCGAGGACGATCAGCTGTCCATCCTGTCTCCCTGTAGCACTGTCTTAGGCGTCTCACAGTACGGACATTGCAATTTATTGCCCTGGCCACATCTGCAGTCCTCATCCCTCCTTGCAGCATGCCTAAGGCACGTTCACGCAGATGAGCAGGGACCCTGGGCATCTTTCTTTTGTTTTTTTCAGAGTCAGTAGAAAGGCGTCTTTAGTGTCCTAAGTTTTCAAAACTGTGACCTTAATTGCCTACCGTCTGCAAGCTGTTAGTGTCTTAACAACCGTTCCACAGGTTCATGTTCATTAATTGTTTATGGTTCATTGAATACGCATGGGAAACAGTGTTTAAACACTTTACAATGAAGATCTGTGAAGTTATTTGGATTTTTACAAATTATCTTTGAAAGACAGGGTCCTGAAAAAGGGACATTTCTTTTTTTGCTGAGTTTATATGTAGTACCAGTCAAATGTTTGGACACACCTACTCATTCAAGGGTTTTTCCTTATTTTTACAATTTTTTACATTGTAGAATAATAGTGAAGACATCAAAACTATGAAATAACACATATGGAATCATGTGTTAAACAAATCAAAATATATTTTATATTTGAGATTCTTCAAATAGCCACCCTTTGTCTTGATGACAGCTTTGCACACTCTTGGCATTTTCTCAACCAGCTTCACCTGGAATGTTTAGTCTTGAAGGAGTTCCCACATATGCTGAGCACTTGTTGGCTGCTTTTCCTTCACTCTGCCGTCCGACTCATAACGAACCATCTCAACTGGGTTGAGGTCGGGGGATTGTGGAGGCCAGGTCATCTGATGCAGCACTCCATCACTCTCCTTCTTGGTAAAATAGCCCTTACACAGCCTGGAGGTGTGTTGGGTCATTGTCCTGTTGAAAAACAAATGATAGTTCCACTTAGCCCAAACCAGATGGGATGGCGTATCGCTACAGAATGCTGTGGTAGCCATGCTGGTTAAGTGTGCCTTGAATTCTAAATAAATCACAGTGTCACCAGCAAAGTACCCCCACACCATAACACCTCCTCCTCCATGCTTTACGGAGGGAACTACACATGTGGAGATCATCCGTTCACCCACACGCGTCTCACAAAGACATGGCGGTTGGAACCAAAAATCTCAAATGTTGACCGGTCTAATGTCCATTGCTTGTGTTTCTTGGCACAAGCAAGTCTCTTCTTCTTATTGGTGTCCTTTAGTAGTGGTTTCTTTGCAACAATTCGACCATGAAGGCCTGATTCACACAGTCTCCTCTGAACAGTTGATGTTGAGATGTGTCTGTTACTTGAACTCTTAGAAGCATATATTTGGGCTGCAATTTCTGAGTCTGGTAACTCAAATGAACTTATCCTCTGCAGCAGAGGTAACTCTGGGTCTTCCATTCCTGTGGCGGTCCTCATGAGAACCAGTTTCATCATAGCGCTTGATGGTTTTTGCGACTGCACTTGAAGAAACTTTCAAAGTTCTTGACATTTTCCGTATTGACTGGCCTTCATGTCTTAAAGTAATGATGGACTGTCATTTCTCTTTGCTTATTTGAGCTGTTCTTGCCATAATACGGATTTGGTCTTTTACCAAATAGGGCTATCTTCTGTATACCCCCCTACCACAACACAACTGATTGGCTCAAATGCATTAAGGAGGAAAGAAATTCCAAAAATTGACTTTTAAGAAGGCACACCTGTTAATTGAAATGCATTCCAGGTGACTACCTCATGAAGCTGGTTGAGAGAATGCCAAGAGTGTGCAAAGCTGTCATCAAGGCATAGGGTGGCTATTTGAAGAATCTCAAATATAACATATATTCACACTTTTTTGGTTACTACATGATTCCATAAGTGTTATTTCAAAGTTTTGATATCATCACTAGTGTGTGTGTGTGTGTGCGGCTGTTTTTCACAGTGTGAAGACAAGGTACCACAGAGAGCAAAGCAGAGCACAGGAGAGGAGAGGCTTTGGTCTATGAGCGATACAGAGGGGAGAAGTATATATCACACCCACAGATAAAAACAGCTGGACTGGAAATGTGGAGACCTGCTGCAGTGCAACTGTTGTGTTGTCGGGATCTCTTTTTACTCTGCCCCCCTCCCCTTCTTCTTTTCTCTCTCTCTCTCTCTCTGTCTCTCTCTCTTCTCTCCCTCCCTCTCATTCCCCTCTCCCGGTTTTTCCCCCTTTTCCTCCCATTTTTCAAAGGGGAAAAATTTTTGGGTTTAGTCCCAAGGGTTCCCCATCAGAGGAAAAATATCCCCAAACCCCCCTCCCCAACCCTTTTTGAAATTGGGCCCTAAACCACACTCACTAACCCACTGCAATTTTTCTCCCCAAAAGCACCAGCCCTGCCCCCCTTCTCCCAAAAAGAGGGAAAAATAAGGGGGTAAAACGGGGGCCCAGGGGAGCGGAAAAAAAAAGGGGAAGGGAAAGGGGGGAAGGAGAGGGGAAAGAGAGAGAAAAAGGGGGGAAGAAGGACAAAAAGGGGAGGAAAAGGGGGGGAAGAAAAGGAAGAGAGAGAGAGGAGAGAGAGAAAGGGAGAGAGAGAGAAAAGAGGAAGGGGAGGGGGAGAGGGAGAGAAGGAAAACAAGGAAAACCGAAGGAAAAGAGAGGGGAGAAAGAGAGAAAAGAGAGAGAGGGAGAGGAGGAGGGGAGAGGGAAAAAGAGACGGGGAAAAAGAGAGAGGGAAGAGGAGGGCAAAAAGAGGAGAAGAGGGGAGGAGGCCCAAAGAGAGAGGAGGGCGGGGAAGAGGAGGATAAAAGGGGAGGGGACAGGAGGAGGGGAAAAGCAGGGAAAGAGAGAGAGGGAAAAGAAGGAAAGAAAAAGAGAAGAAAAAGAAAAAAGCCCAAAAGAAAGGGAAAAGAAAAAAAAAGAAAGAAAGAAAAACGAGAGGGAAAACCTTTTCCAAAAAAACAAATCTTTTTATATTTTCCTTTTTCTCCTTTTCCCCTTTTGGTTTTAAAAACTAAAAAAAAAAAAAAAATTATGGTTCAGTCCAAAAACTTCCCTATCAGATGGAGGGGAAGGAAGAAGAAAAAAAAAAAAAAAACAACCCTACCAAAAACCCTAACCGGGCCCCCCCCCCTTCCCACCCTTTTTGCCCCTGGCAAGCCACACTAAAAAACCCAAAAATCCATTTTTTCCTCTTCCCCTTTGGAGAATACCAAAAGTTAAACCCGGAAAAGGTTTTTTTGAATTAAAAGGAGCTAACCCCCTATCCCCCCCCCTTTATTTTTCCCCCCTTTTCCCTTTTTTTCCTCTATATCCGAAAACTAAAAACTGCAACTTTTTTTAAAAACCCGGTTTTTCCCCCCTTTTTGGGGGAAAAGGGGAGAAATAGGAGGCGAGAGCTAAAGAAGAAAGGGCTATAAAATAAACGTATATCTTAAAGTCCGTAAACCCCCCAAAACCCCCAAAAACCCCCCCCCCATTTCGGCTCTTCTTTTCTCTCTCGATCTCTCTTCTTTTCTCTTTCTCGGTTTCCAAAAAATTCTCAACTGGAAAAATTATGTTCCCCGTCCAATGGGTTTCCCTATCAGGGGGCCCTCATCCGCCCCACCCCCCCAAACCCCCCACCTCCCCTTTTTTGTCCCCCATGCCTCCTCCCACCCTTATGCACGGCATGCCATCACTCAACCCCACTCCCATTTCTATCTCTCCATCGCTATCCAGCTCATGCATACTTCCCCTCTCTCACCCTCTCCCTCTCTTCTCTTCTACTCCTCTCTTCCTTTTTCTCTTCTCTCTCACTATCTCTCCAGCTCAGCTGCAACCTTTCTTAACCCTTTTGTTCCTCGCCCTTTCTCTCTCTCTCTCTCTCTCTCTCTCTCTCTCTCTCTCTCTCTCTCTCTCTCTCTCTCTCTCTCTCTCTCTCTCTCTCTTCCTGAGTCTCTATCTCCTGAGTCTCTCCTGGTTGCGAGGCGTGGCCCCTCACTCAGGTTCCCTTTCCTTCCCCTTCCTCTTTCCCTCTCTTTCTCTCGCCTCTCTCTCTCCATCTCTCAGGGTTGCAAGGTGTGGCCCCTTATGCAGACTAAGCCACAGGAAACTAATGAGCCTGTCACGCCACTAAGAATCTGAATTCAACATGTCTTATCTGCAGAACGGGGCCTTAGCTCTGCTCCGGCGCCGTACGCTGCAGCTCATATACCAGGCATGGAAAAGGGGTGTGTCTGAACCTGTGGAGCGGTCTGCAAGGTCTAGCGGTTAAGCGTGTTGGGCCAGTAACCAAAAAGTTGCAGGTTCGAATCCCAGAGTCGACTAGGTGACAAATCTGTCGTTGTGCCCTTGAGCGAGGCACGTAATTGCTCCTGTAAGTCGCTCTGGATCAGAGCGTCTGCTAAATTACTTTAATGTAAATACAGGCGGAGTGCGTGGTGGGGATGGGGTAACACTGGGGCTGGATAGAGGGATGCAACATCACAGGGTATGTGTCAGGGGTAGGGCAGTGGATGGATGTGGCGTGTGAGTGGAATGAAATATACAGTTGTAATAGTCATTGGTCAGACTTTGGACAGAAACAGTAGGAGAGGGTGAAAGAAAGAGCCATGTGTCATATTAACTGTGAGACAGAATAGCAAGGGAGGGTCAATTCAAGATTATTCATCCAGTGACGCAATTGGAAATGAAATGAACATCTGAATCAGTAGGAAATATCTGGTGGGTCATGGAATCTGTAGGAAATATCTGGTGGGTCATGGAATCTGTAGGAAATATCTGGTGGGTCATGGAACCTGTAGGAAATATCTGGTAAGTCATGGAACCTGTAGGTAATATCTGGTGGGTCATGGAACCAGTAGGAAATATCTGGTGGGTCATAGAACCTGTAGAAAATATCTGGTGGGTCATGAACCTGTAGGAAATATCTGGTGGGTCATGGAACCTGTAGGAAATATCAGATGGGTCATGGAACCTTTAGGACATAGCTGGTGGGTCATGGAACCTGTAGGAAATATCTGGTGTGTCATGGAACCTGTAGGAAATATCTGGTGGGTCATGGAACCTGTAGGAAATATCTGGTGTGTCATGGAACCTGTAGGAAATATCTGGTGGGTCATGGAACCTGTAGGAAATATCTGGTGGGTCATGGAACCTGTAGGAAATATCAGGTGGGTCATGGAACCTCTAGGACATAGCTGGGGGGTCATGGAACCTGTAGGAAATATCTGGTGGGTCATGGAACCTGTAGGAAATATCTGGTGTGTCATGGAACCTGTAGGAAATATCTGGTGGGTCATGGAACCTGTAGGAAATATCTGGTGGGTCATAGAACCTGTAGGATATATCTGGTGGGTCATGGAACCTGTAGGAAATATCTGGTGGGTCATGGAACCTGTAGGAAATATCTGGTGGGTCATGGAACCTGTAGGAAATATCTGGTTGTGTCATGGAACCTGTAGGAAATATCTGGTGGGTCATGGAACCTGTAGGAAATATTGGTGGGTCATGGAACCTGTAGGATATATCTGGTGGGTCATGGAACCTGTAGGAAATATCTGGTGGGTCATGGAACCTGTAGGATATATCTGGTGGGTCATGGAACCTGTAGGAAATATCTGGTGGGTCATGGAACCTGTAGGAAATATCTGGTGGGTCATGGAACCTGTAGGAAATATCTGGTGTGTCATGGAACCTGTAGGAAATATCTGGTGGGTCATGGAACCTGTAGGAAATATCTGGTGGGTCATGGAACCTGTAGGATATATCTGGTGGGTCATGGAACCTGTAGGAAATATCTGGTGGGTCATGGAACCTGTAGGATATATCTGGTGGGTCTTGGAACCTGTAGGGAATATCTGGTGGGTCATGGAACCTGTAGGAAATATCTGGTGGGTCATGGAACCTGTAGGAAATATCTGGTGGAAAGAGTGTAGGTGTGAGAGAGAAAGAGAGAGAGAGAGAGAGAGAGAGAGAGAGAGAGGGGGGGGGGGGGGGGGGAGAGGGGGGAGAGAGGGGGAGAGAGAGACAATGAGAGAGTGTAGGTGTGAGAGTAAAGGACAGAAAGAAAGAGTGAATAAGAGAGAGAGAGCTTGATTAGAAAGGAGGTGATTGGAGTCAGAGGTCTGTAATTGAAGCTGTTCTGTAAGAATGGCAGTGCCACAAAGACAACGACTCCTGGTCACCTGGTCTATTCATGCACACCTACACACACACTACATTATACATCATATCCTTGAAGAACCAAACTGAAGTTAATGAGTGTTTGTGCATGTGTGTGTGTGAACACTAGCTCTGGTGTGATTATTTCTGTCTGAGTCACGTTGTTGACTAGTTGTGCCTTGAAGTCGGCCACGCTACGACGCGTCTCCTGAAGCGCTCGCGGCGCTCTCTCACCCTCTCACCACTCCACTTGTCGTACCAGCTGAAAGTTTATGAGTACCTTGAACAATGTCCTTCTAAACAAATCGTATTAACCTGCTTTTTAATTCAATTTGGCTTTTCGATTAAGTCGTAAGTGAGTCCCTTCTCTTAGACTGCATTTGCATGCCTGTTAAGAACCAACCAGTACCTGTTTGTGTGTTAGAACCTTAGAAAATCTACTTGACTTGTCCTCTGCCCTACTGTGACACAAATGGCCTTTATTAATGGACATGATGCATAGCATATGTAATGAAATGCAATAACTATATTTCTCATAACAAATGTGGTGGCTGGATGCATAAATCTGGTCAGTGCGTATCTCAGCCCAAGCTGACAGAAAGGGAAAACTGTACAAGCTAAAAACAAGTATGGGTGTGACTGTCAAGTAGCATTACTTAGACACAGACCTGTCTATCATCACCCTTGTCTTCCATCTCAATTCCACAGGGAAACATGAGTGCTTTCGATTTATACTTAATGTATCTTCCTATGCTCAATACAACTTCTGAAATCACAGTATTCCAAAGCCACTGATACTACTCAAGCTCTGCTTTTGCATGAGAAATTACTGCTAGTCAGGTATAACATTTACTTAAAATTACTTAAGTAATTGTAACACCACTGTTAAATGCAAATGTGATCGTGTGACCAATTAAGATGCTGGGATATTTAAATTACATGCATGCATTACAATTCCCCTCACTAGCAAGAGCCTTAGAGGAACCAAGGGGGCTAGGCTACATTTAATATGATTCCACATAATTACAGGAAAATGAATTTTAATTGTTACATTCCCGCTAAAAATAAATTGGCAGATATTTCTGCCTGCCTCCCCGCTGCGGAGTGACTTTCAGCTTAATGGTGGAGGCATTTTCAATTGGTCTATTTTCAATGTGGCTAATGTTAGAAAATAGGTTATAGTAAGATTACATTGTTTAACTAAATAGAACCATGGAGAAACATTGAGTAAATGTTCTATTAACCCATTTAACAGTCGATTGCTTGTGTTTGAATCCCCACACGGTATATCCAGGCTTTGGGAAGAACGGGTATGTGGTAATGACTGGAGTGGAATCTGTGGAATGGTATCAAATACATCAAACACATGGTTTCCAGGTGTTTGATGCCATTCCATATGTTCTGTTCCAGCCATTATTATCCCCTCAGCAGCCACCACTGCCCGGCTTACACTCACCGTCGCATGGTATGGTCTCCACAGTCTGCAGTTTCTGGAGTTTTATGAAACATGGATTGCATATACAGTGAGGGAAAAATGTGTTTGATCCCCTGCTTATTTTTTACGTTTGCCCACTGACAAAGAAATGATCAGTCTATAATTTTAGTGGTAGGTTTATTTGAACAGTGAGAGACAGAATAACAAAAAAATAATCCAGAAAAACGCATGTCAAAAATGTTATAAATTGATTTGCATTTTAATGAGGGAAATAAGTATTTGACCCCCTCTCAATCAGAAAGATTTCTGGCTCCCAGGTGTCTTTTATACAGGTAACGAGCTGAGATTAGGAGCACACTCTTAAAGGGAGTGCTCCTAATCTCAGTTTGTTACCTATATAAAAGACACCTGTCCACAGAAGCAATCAATCAATCAGATTCCAAACTCTCCACCATGGCCAAGACCAAAGAGCTCTCCAAGGATGTCAGGGACAAGATTGTAGACCTACACAAGGCTGGAATGGGCTACAAGACCATCGCCAAGCAGCTTGGTGAGAAGGTTACAACAGTTGGTGCGATTATTCGCAAATGGAAGAAACACAAAAGAACTGTCAATCTCCCTCGGCCTGGAGCTCCATGCAAGATCTCACCTCGTGGAGTTGCAATGATCATGAGAATGGTGAGGAATCAGTCCAGAACTACACGGGAGGATCTTGTCAATGATCTCAAGGCAGCTGGGACCATAGTCACCAAGAAAACAATTGGTAACACACTACGCTGTGAAGGACTGAAATCCTGCAGCGCCCGCAAGGTCCCCCTGCTCAAGAAAGCACATATACAGGGCCGTCTGAAGTTTGCCAATGAACATCTGAAGGATTCAGAGGAGAACTGGGTGAAAGTGTTGTGGTCAGATGAGACCAAAATCGAGCTCTTTGGCATCAACTCAACTCGCCATGTTTGGGGGAGGAGGAATGCTGCCTATGACCCCAAGAACACCATCCCCACCATCAAACATGGAGGTGGAAACATTATGCTTTGGGCGTGTATTTCTGCTAAGGGGACAGGACAACTTCACCACATCAAAGGGACGATGGACGGGGCCATGTACTGTCAAATCTTGGGTGAGAACCTCCCTCAGCCAGGGCATTGAAAATGGGTCATGGATGGCTATTCCAGCATGACAATGACCCAAAACACACGGCCAAGGCAACAAAGGAGTGGCTCAAGAAGAAGCACATTAAGGTCCTGGAGTGGCCTAGCCAGTCTCCAGACCTTAATCCCATAGAAAATCTATGGAGGGAGCTGAAGGTTCGAGTTGCCAAACGTCAGCCTCGAAACCTTAATGACTTGGAGAAGATCTGCAAAGAGGAGTGGGACAAAATCCCTCGTGAGATGTGTGCAAACCTGGTGGCCAACTACAAGAAACGTTTGACCTCTGTGATTGCCAACAAGGGATTGCCACCAAGTACTAAGTCATGTTTTGCAGAGGGGTCAAATACTTATTTCCCTCATTAAAATGCAAATCAATTTATAACATTTTTGACATGCGTTTTTCTGGATTTTGTTGTTGTTATTCTGTCTCTCACTGTTCAAATAAACCTACCATTAAAATTATAGACTGATCATTTCTTTGTCAGTGGGCAAACGTACAAAATCAGCAGGGGATCAAATCCTTTTTTCCCTCACTATATTTAGCGGCTGTAGCTTACTCTATGGAATTAAACTTGGATGTATAGGGAGCATTTCTGTCATTGAGGTAAACTTACCTTAGATAACACAAATCTGATTGGTTGTGCATGCAGGTATAAGCCTAAGCCCTCCAGCTACTGGTCTAGCCAACCCCTCCAAGCTCCCTCTGTACTGTAAATATAGAGATCGGGACGCTCTGTTTAAGATTTGACATTACAATGGGCTTCCATGTTAGCACCAGAAATTCCATGACAATCCCATTCCAGTATAGAATGTAAATTAGAACGCTGTCATGGAATGTTCCAGTGCCAAGATGGAGGAGTGATGAATTCCAGATTGCCTCATTCCATTTCAAGATGACTTCTACAGAGACAGACTGGCACCTCGATGTATGTCCCCCCCAGTGGATAGATTTAATCTAATAATAAGATGTAATATCTGTCTGCCTCTCTCTCTGTGTCAGCTCTGATGACTGCTGTCGTCCTAGTGGATCTCTGCAGGTTCTTCTGGTGCAAAGAGGAGCTCTCTCTTAGCTCTCCCTCCTTTCTAAATCTGCCTCTTCATAATTAGATTTGCTTTCTGTGGGGCTCTGGCGATCCCTGCAATCTAATCTATTTATGCATTCACTTTTTCAGGCCTCAGTGAGATTCAATTGCCGGGTATTTGTACGTCGCCTGTCAAAACGGCCTTCTTTTTCCTCACAGTATGAGACTCATTCACCGGCGGAGATGGGCGATGATTGCCCGTCGGTCTCATGGCAAACGCAATGTTCCGGAACTTCAGAGGCTTCGCTTCTCATTTTAGAGGGGATTCAGGGGGGCTGTGTGTGTGTGTGTGTGTGTCTGTCTGCAGTGGCGGCTCCTGAAAAAATTCTCAGGGGGGGCAATTTTTCTGATGATTTAGGTGACCTACACACATTTAAAAAAAGATATGTCCAGCAACAACATGAAGACAGGGGCAGCATATAAGTCAATACCAGAAGCATTTATTGACTGATCTCAAAAGTGTTGGCTTACCAGGGTTGGTGGAGCCCTCAGTTTCATCTTTGCCTCGCAAAGCTAACTCAAACACTCCGCAAAACTTCACACACTGGATTAGCCGGCTGAGGATGTGGCGGTTCTTGCTAATGTCGTAGTAAATATATTTGTTATAGTGAATATGGAATATGATATGTTGAGTAAAATGTTGTGCTAAGATCTATTTAGGTCAGGAGCTGGTTATAAGTTCTGTTCCTATCCAATAACAATGGACAAAAGGGTCCTATCTTGTCAGCCTTGTCAGCAGGTGGCCAAGGACAACACCCACGCCATAGGCCTCTCAGTTCTTCCAACTCACGAGTTCTTGCTCTGAGGACACACACACACACACACACAAACACACACACACACACATCATCACTGTTAAAACACACACACACACACACACACACACACACACACATCATCACTGTTAAACACACACACACACACACAAAAATCCCCTCTCTTAGGCTGAACATTTGAAGACAGAGAACCCGACTCAGAGCCAATGCAACAGTGACAGTAGCCTGGAGGGGACCTCGCCCAACTCATCAGGACCAATCAGAAGATCAGAACTACTAGATTCAACCTACTTCATTTATTGCATAAAATGTCTGCACACAATGTTTCGGGGCTCTCTTCAGATAATAATAATAATAATAATAATAAGCCATTTAGCAGACGCTTTTATCCAAAGCGACTTACAGTCATGCGTGCATACATTTTTGTGTATGGGGGCCCCACAACACACCCAAAACCCAAACTTCCATGACAAAAAAAACAAAACCCTTTCCTTTTTAAAAAACAACAAAAAAACCCCACGTATTTTGGAAATTTAGACAGAAATTTTTTTAGGCAATTGCAAAAAAAAACTTTTAGGGCCAAAATCTTAGCAAAGGGGGCAAACCCATAGTTAACCAATTGGAATTTGGGGGTAAAAAAACCCGTTTTTTTAATTTTTAATTTAAAATTATTAAAATTACGCCTTTTTAAAAAGGGGGGGCTTACCTGCCCAAAATTTTTTTTTTAGTTGTTCCAATCCACTTGGGGCCAAGCGCATTTTAAACCCTGCTACAAAATTTTCCCATGGTCGACCTTGAAAAAAAAGGGGCCAATAAAACCCCCGTTTTTTTTTGAAATTTATTTAAGAAACATGAGATGCGTCGCAATAAAATTTAGCTGGGGGTCCCTGGCAATTCCCCCCCAATTCTTTCCCCCAAAAAAAATTTTGGGGTGAAAATGGGTACAATTTTGTTTTGAAAATTTTTTCATAAAAATTTTAGAATGTTGTTTATTGAAAAAATGTTTATGTTTTCCAAACTTCCCAAAAAGGGGGGGGTTGTCAAAGGGGTGATCCCAAGGGGGGGGGCTTTTCAGTTTTAAAAAATAGGGGTAAAACAGGACGTTAAAAACGAAAACAAATTTGGGAAACTTTCCCCGGAAAACCCTGCAATTTACGCCCTTTTTTGGAAAAAAACCCTCTCCGGGAAATAGAGGGGGAATCCTTTGTTAAGGGTTTAATGAATAAATAGAAAAATGGGCCCAAGGGGGGG